TCCTCCTCCTCCTCCTCCTCCTCCTCCCTCCTCCTCTCTCTCTCCTCCTCCTCCTCCTCTCCTCCTCCTCCTCCTCCTCCTCCTCCTCCTCCTCCTCCTCCTCCTCCTTACCCATTTCTCTCTCTCCGCTTCCTTTGCCCTTTCTTCACTCCCTCGAAGTTTCCTAACCTTGTTTCAGATCAGTGGAGCAGGAGCAGGAGCAAGAGAAGGAGCTTCATGCCATTTCCTCGCCTCTCGCCTCCTCTCCCGCCATCCAGTCTGCGTCGTCAAGCTCCTTCACGGGGTTTCGGAGGACGCGCTCGTCTCCTCGGTCGCTCGCTCCTCGCTCCTCCGCCACCCCCATCTGCTGCCCTTCCTCGGCCTGTCCATCGACCCGACCAGCGGCCAGGCCGTCCTCCTCCTCCCCTTCGCCTCCCGCGGGAGTCTTCAGGACCATCTTCTACCTCAAGTTCCCTCCTGCGGCTCCTCCACCCTCCGTCTTCATCCTTCTCCTCCTCCTCCTCTCTCCTGGACTTCCCGCGTCCGCATCCTAGCACAGGTCAGCGATGCCCTGCGCTTCCTTCACTCAGGCGGCTGCGTCCACGGAGGCCTTTCCTCCTCCTCCGTCCTCCTCTCCGCCTCCTCCTCTTGCAAGCTTGCCCAGCCCTCTCCCTGCTCCCTCTCCGCCCTCGAACAGCAGCGGCAGCGGGGACTCGTCGATCCTCTCCTGGCCCTCACCGCATCCTTTGAAGAGCTCAATGATGCGTTCGACCTCGGCCTCCTCCTCCTCCTCTGTCTCACTGGCCTTCCCTTGGTCGACCCCTCCTCCTCCGCCGAGCCCCTCCTCCTCGACCGCTGCGGCGACCTGCTCGCGGGAAGGGAGGAGGCGATGGGGTTGGCTGACCCGCGGGGGGAGTGGCGTGAGGAGGAGGCGGAAGAGATTGCCAAGATGGCGGCTGCGCTGACAAGCTCAAGGAGGTGAGGACGAGGACGGGGACGAGGACGAAAGGAGGAGCAGGAGGAGCAGGAGGAGCAGGAGGAGCAGGAGGAGCAGGAGGAGCAGGAGGAGGAGAAGCAAGAGGAGGAAATGGTGGTGGTGGATCTTTGAGGAGGGAGGGGATAGTGAAACGTCATTATGGGAAGAATGAGGAAAGACGAGGGATGAACAGGAAAGGGAAGAGAGAAAGTACGAGAGAGAAGTCGAGGACATGGAGGGGGAAGATCTGAAGGAGCAGGTCGTGGAGGAGCAGGAGCGGGAGCAGGAGCTGAAGGAGGGTTAATGAATGGTGCAGAGCTCGGAGGGCGACGGTGGAAGAGGCTCAGGGGAAGCTGCAGGAGCTGCTCCTGCGGCAGGGGCTGAGCTGGAGAGGAGGAGAGGAGGAGGTGCGAGTTTGCGGCTTCTGCTGGGGGGATGCAGACATTCGCTTTCATTGCCAGCACGCGTCCTGCTGCAGGAATTGTGCAGGTGAGGAGGAGAGTGAGAAGCGCAGGAGCAGGAGCAGGAGCAGGAGCAGGAGCAGGAGCAGGAGCAGGAGCAGGAGCAGGAGCAGGAGGGAGGAATGTGAGGAGGAGGGGGAACAGGAAGAGCTGAGGAGGAGGAGGCGCTCAGGAAGAGGATTGGGGGAGAACGAGGAGGGGGAGGGTGGCAGCCTCTGACAATGGATCGCAGGTGCTCTCATGCATGCGCAGCAGGAGATGACGTGTCCTGCATGCGGGAAGAAAGTTGAGGTGAGGAAGAGAAGAGGGAGAGAGAGGAGGGGGGGAGGAAGAGGGGAGAGAGAGGAGGTGGGGAGGGGAGGAGGGAAGGAGGAAGAGGAGG